CATCTGACTTTTTTTTGCATTTTTAATGCGACACTTCTAAATGTGCATCAAAAAGCCTTGATGGAAACACAGTTACTGGTTTCATACAAATCTTTGCAATAAACCCATAAGATACTGGATCTTATGCAGGACAGACAGACAACAGGGATGTTGCCATTTTGCAATACATTATATTAAAGTTTCCTTAGAGACACAGAAATGTAAAAATTGAAGCAACTTTGACACTATAAAAGAAATGTATGAATGGCCTGATTCACAAAAGTTGTTTTTATTAAAAATGGGAAAGGTACCAAGGACTTTTTTCCACATCTGCACATTGAAGAACACAAAGAAAAGGAGTGAGCCACAGTCTTGTGCTAAACAACTTCAGAGGGGCATGAGCCCACTTTCATTATATGCTTTAGTGGTTGTGCAATCCCACTCTGGCAAAGGCCCCTGAATGTAATCTTCTGCAGGAAAACAACAGTGATTATCATAAAGTGTTTCCATCCACGATGAACGTGGGGAGCCATAGTCCTTCTCCTCTGGCCTGCTGAAAACACTTAGTGGAGTGGAGCAGGAGGGCTCAGGGGTCCTTGCATAAAGGGCTATTAGATCTCTTGTTAAATCTTGCACCTGCTAATAACCATGCATGTGTGCAACAGTGTAGTACCCTGTTCACAGGCACACTTTCTTTCATCTGAAAGCTGTGTTCAGTTTTCAGTTTTCAGTACTGCAGTCAGTCTCCACGATATTTTCTTTTCAGTTTACTTACATTTTAAGTTTGATAAAATTCTGAAGGAAATGCCAACATATTTGCAGTACACAGCAGAAAGTACTTGTGTGAAAGAACAGTTAATGATTCTGTTTTATCCCAGAAAAAAAAGGCTTGCACACAGTTTGCTCACATGAGAAATGAGTTTCTGGATCGATTTGACCAAAGTTCTATTTGCTCTTCAGAAAAGCAAACTCTTTMGTCTCTTTTTTACCAAGTATGAGCCTGAGGGTCAGAGAAACAGGGTTTTGATGAGAAAATATTCCCACATAAATAGGTTTCAGAATCTGTATGAGCTCGGGTTTTTTGGATGTACTCTGTTACTTCGGAGTCAAGTCCTTTATCCTTTTTTGGTTTTAGAATACACCACTTCAGTTCTAACTAATCCAGTTGCTAAAATAAAAAGCCATCAATCRTTAATTAATTGCAGTTCTCAAACCCTGAAATTAGAACAGTGTAAATGTATTAGATTAGGTATAGTTTACCTACTTTAAAAGGTAAGAACCCAGTGGGCTGTAAATAGCTTATTAACAGCATTTGTGAAGAAGACCATAAAATGTCTTGCAATCTTTGTGAAGTCCTGTTGCTTGAATCTTGAACATGTACAAAAAATGTGTGCAATACATTCCTTGTAACGAGTTGTCTCTCAAACTGGTCAGAGTTGACAGAAACATTTCAAACCTTTCCAGATTTTGCTGAGAGTGTCTCCATATTGTCTCAAGAGTGCTAGAGCTGTATTTTTATACCTCTGACATTTAACATGGCCAGGGTGAACAACCATATAGATAATAAATAACATTTGAACAATTGGTCCAAATCTGCCTATCTTCATTTTCAATTCTAGTTTCCCTTCTCTGCTCCGTCTGGGACTTCTCCCATTGACATGGATTTCACTGGCAGATTTTTAGCCGGGCCAATCAGAGAACAGAACCTCAATTTTCTGTGCAGTGTCTGRTTGTAGTTTATTTTACCTGGGCCAATCAYAGAACAGAAGGAGGAGCTTTGAACGACATTGATGTTCTGCGCAGTGTCTGCTAGTTATTTTAGCATACGGCAGTGGAGGAAGTGAATGAAGCCAGTCTGTGTTGATAAGGCTTCAAATTAAAATAAATTAGTCTGACAAAGCAGCAGCTCTCATTTACAGRCGTCTCGTTCAGCTCGGTATATTTCTCCTCTCAGTAGGGTTGTTTACAGCACACGCGATTTCCGGTTAGCTTCTTAGCTTTTTAAAAAAAAATTTTTTATTGATGATCAATAAAAAAAGAAAAAAATAGCTTCTTAGCTTAGCCTCCATCACAGTGACAACACACACATGCTTCAGCAGAGGCCACGCCTCCTGCAAGAAACGCTCCTCTATGCATCAAGTCCAGACCCTCGTARGAAGCAAAGTGAAGGACAGGGTCTGGTTTTAACCAGGCTAATCCTATTGAGATATTACCTTCAGAGCCTGAACATTTGGCAAAAACCTATTTTCTGAAACATCTGACAAACCAGCAGTCACTAAAATTTCTCATTGCTTGTTTTGCTGCTACTGCACCCTAACAAAGTCTACTTGTGAGGCTTTGGTGGAAGGATCGACCCAGAGCACAGGCAGGTTCAGAGTGCAAAAATAAAAGGCTTTATTTAAAGACAACGCTACTGAGGCTGCTCAAAAACTCACAAAGGCTTGGCACAAGAAAACTCGAGAACACATGGACACACTACACAGGCTGGGGAACACAGCACAATGATCTGACAATACACTGAGGATAGGACACAAAATATAATGGCAAACTTAATGAGACAACGAGAAACACCTGGGGAAGACACATGAGGAAACAGGTGAGCGAGGACAGGGCTAAAGACAAGATATACAGCAGGGCAGAGATGCACAGGGAGCACAGAAACACTAGAAAAACCAACAGAAAACACACAGACCATGACAGTACCTCCCCCTCAACGGTGGCTTCAGCCATCGAAGGAGAGAGGTACAAGACTCAGGGAGACACACAACAGGAGGGGCTCAAAGACAAAACCCCAGAGTTCAGAGGGACGCCCGAGGACTATCCAACACAAAGCAGAAGTTCAGGAGAACAGCCAGGAGACCATCCAGCATTGGGCCAAGGATCCGGAGGGTAGCCTGGAGAATGTTCTAGGCCAAGGGAGTCGTAGGAGTCGATGGGGATCCAAGGGAGGAGGGAGGAGTCGATGAGGAGCTGGAGGAAGGTGGTGGAGCCAGAGAGACAATGGAGGTAAACCCAGGCTACGAAGGGGCAAAGGCAGCTGACCCAGAAATCACAGGAACCACTAAGTCTGGGGCCGCCAACCCAAGAGACCCAGGAACTACCAACTCAGGAGCTGCAGGAAACTCAGGAGACTCAGTGGACTCTGTAGACTCTGCAGACTCAGTAGCAGGAACTGCCGGCTCGAGTGCAGAAGGCTCAGGAACCATGACAGGGGTGAGAGGGTGGGCATCAGCACTCTCAGCCAGGACTCTCTGGGCATAGGTGAAGACCCTCTGGTGGCGGGGCAGCAGCACATCCGAAGGTGCTGCCAGAACGCTCTTGATCTGTCTGGCAGCGAGGGAGGAGAACCACTGGAGAATTGTTAGTGAACCACCCATCAGTCACCGGTTCATCCCACAGCAGCAGAGACAGGACTGCTTCTCAGAGGCAGGAGGTGGAAGACCAGCCGCGGTGGGACCCAGACGACGCTGGTGATCTCCAGCGGACAGTAGAGGGAGGCTGGACTGCAGAGAACCGGCGAGACACAGTACAAGCCTCCTCTTCCAAAAAGCACTCTGAGAAATATTTGCCTGTAGGCTGAGTGCCTGGACAGATCATTCTGTGAGGTTTTGGTGGAAGGATCGACCCAGAGCACAGGCAGGTTAACACTATTGAGGCTGCTCAAAAAACTCTTGAAGGCTTGGCACAAGAAAACTCGAGTCCACATAGAGACACCACACAGGCTGGGAAAGAGCACAATGATTTGACAACACACTGTGGACGGGACACAGAATATAAAGGCCAACTTAATGAGACAATGAGAAACACCCGGGGAAGACAAAAGTGGAAACAGGTGAGCGAGGGCAGGGCTAAAGACACAAGACAGACAGCAGGGCAYAGATACACAGYGGAACACAGAAACGCTAGAAAAACCAAGGCAGAAAACACACAGAGCATGACACTACTAGGAACCATTCAACCAGATGTTCTACCCTACGGGCCCTYTACAGGGCCCACAGATGGCATCATAGCCTTGTTGTTTGCTAAAGTAGGTGTAAAACTTATTTTTCCCAAATTTATTCTAAGTCTGTCACAAAAGGTGTCTTTAATGTTTTAAAATGAGTCGCCAAATTATTTTTGGATAAATATCTATTATTTTAGAGCTATATAAACATTTGTAAGTTACTTGAACCYTTGCGGACCTTTTCAGTATCAGGAAGTTCTCCGCATCTGTTATTGTGCAAGTTTTGGTGTCTTTGAAAAGATGAAGCCCTTGTGAATTCAGGGATATATCTTGACACTGTGTTACTCTTTGTTTGGTGACGTGAAGTTTATGCGTAACAGAGTATAAATAAAAGCCCTCATGCGTAAAACGTGGAGGCGGAGTTATGTTTCTGTAGGCGTGTGGGTGAAGAGTATGATAGTAGGTTTTGATGATGCACAGTGTAAATGTAAAAAGAAAAGATTATGTCATATGCAGAATGAGTCCTATAATAGAAATCAACACTTTTATTAAACCAGATTCTCTTTTATAAAGTAAAAAACCCATTTGACACAGTTTTGGATACATTTGGTTAAACTGTGCCAAAATGCCATTTCCGCCTGACACTGCTCACTAAAACCTTTGTGAAATGAATATACTTCAACTTATTCAGTCCTACTTTGCTACAATTTTTTCAAGATGTAGACGTATAAAATCTAAGGGCATTTCTGGGTTTTTGCAAGAGTTTTCATTGTGTTTTGCACTTTTGATTTTAAAAAAACTTTAGGCAGGGCTAAAGAAATTACAAGTTTTCTTTATTTAATCACAAATAACTCAGGCACAGTAAGAGTTACAARAGTGGTTTCACTTAAGAAATTATCTTTAAGATCTTACCTTTACAGAGGTACCAAGAGTTAGCATTTAGACCTTATAACTGTGGAGCTAGTCTTGATTTATTTTGCTGTGTATTTTCAGGCGGAAATTACCTCTAAAACCCTTTAGGGTTTAATTATTCAAGTGGAGTTAAATTAAAAATAAAACAAGCATTTCCACAGGTTGCCAAAGTGCCCACCCAAGTACCTGAACACACCGGTGTCTTGTTCCGCACAGAGGAGCCACTCACTGGCTTGCCATCAACGTTGACACACCAGCAGTAGCCTGTCTGAGTGTGACACTGAACCTGCACAGGAAAAATAAAGACAGAAAAAAATTAAAACTCAAATCACTGAGGCTGTGTTTAATGCATTCTGATGAAAACACACCTGGGCATATGTTCCATCTCCATTGCATTCTGGAATAAATGTGGAGTCATGAGGCCTTCTCGACTGCTCCAGGGCATTGCTCCTTTCAGTGCGACACTTGGACTGACCTGCATCTGTAACGTATTGACAGGAACTGTCAGGTCTCAAACAACATCACTGTTGTGTTTGTGCTGAACACGTTCTTTGTCAGTAATATCCTGTTCACATRGGCAAGCTGCCCTGTGGTTTACATCTGCTACCATTAGACAGTACGAAGGTAAATGTATGTTTGTAAGTTAGAAGGTTTTCTCACTTTACAGGCAGCTAAAACACATATGCATGCAATGCTCTTTTCTTATTTATCATACTGTTTTAAAACCTGGTCACATGACAAGTGTGATAAAACCCGTCAAGTCACTTTTCAAAAAGACAGTTAATATTCTGGACAATCTTTTCATGGACACCTGTTGTAATATTGTTAGTAATTGTAAGATCTTAGACTTTGAAAATTACCCCATGTTTAGTAATTTAAGTTTTGGTTTTATGATTTTCAAATGGGGTCGGCACAGTGGCTCAGTTGGTAGAGCTGATGCTTCTTAGCAAGAAGGTTGCCGGTTCAAATCCGAGCCCAAGGACCTTTCTGGGTAGAGGTTGCATGTTCTCTCCGTGCATGCGTGGGCTCTCCGGCTTCCTCCCACAGACCAAAAACATGACTGTTTGGTTAACTGATAAATCTAAATAGTCCCTAGGTGTGAGAGAGAGAATGAATGGTTGTTTGTCTCTATGTGTGTCTCTGTGATGGACTGAGACCTGTCCAGGGTGTACCCCACCCCTCACACTGTGACTGCTGGATATGGACTCTGTGACCCTGAAAGGAAGAAGCGGGTATAGATAATGAGTCTTATTTAATTAACAGATTTCAGTTTGTTAATGTTAATAATTAATCTTCTTCTTACACCAGAGTTAGTCATGGAGTTCCTCAGGGTTAAGTGCTTGGACCACTACTCTTTACTTTATATATGCTTCCATTAGGTAAAGTTATTAAACAGCATGGGATAAATTTCCATTGTTATGCTGATGATACTCAGTTATATTTATCCATGAAACCTGATGAATCCAAACAGTTATTTAAACTATGCTGTAAAAAATGAAATGTTGGATTTACTTAACCATGTTATGTGACCTGGTTCCACTTAACTG